TAATAAACTGTTAATCACCTTCTTCATCCTTCTGTACATCCTTAGCTTTCTCCGCATGTGCAGGAGCTTCTGCCAGCCGCACACAGCTCTTGCCTCCCTGACTTTATAAAAAGAAAGGGCAAGAAAGGTGGATTTGTTAAAGATTTGCCATACACTCAGCCTTCCATGGTTTGTGTATACAAAGTGCGGGAGCCACCCAGGTCAGAGGCGAGGCTTGTACATCCATTTTTGTAACCGTCTGAATCTTTGCCATTCACAGTTTTACATGCGTTGGCTGTGTCTCCTGTTCTTAAGAACTTGAGAATATAAGAACGGCCATAATGGGTCAGACTAATGGTCCATCTTGCCCAGTGTCTTGTCTCCCAGCAGTGGCCAGTGTCAGATGCTTTAGAGGGAGTGAGCAGAACAGGGCAACTTATCTAGTGATCCATCTCCTGTCATCCAGTCTCAGCTGCTGGCAGTCACAGGCTAGGGACACTCAGAGCATGGTGCTACATCCCTGACCATCTTGGGTAGTAGCCATCGATGGATCTATCCTCCATGAATTTTACCTGATTCTTTTTTTAATCCAGTTATACTTTTGGCCTTTACAACATCTCCTGTCAACAAGTTCCACAGCTTGACTGTGCATTGTGTGGAGAAGTCCTTCCATGTGTTTATTTTAAATCTGCTGCCTATTAATTTCATTGGGGTGCCCTCTGATTCTTTTGTTATGTGAAGGGGTAAATAACACTTCCCTACTCACTTTCTCCACACCAGTCATGATTTTATAGACCTCTATCATATCCCCCTTTAGTTGTCTCTTTTCTAAGATGAACAGTCTCAATCTTTTAAATCTCTCCTCACATGGAAGCTGTTCCAGTCATTTTTCTTGCTCCTCTCTGCACCTTTTCTGATTCGAATGTACCTTTTTTATAGCTGGGGTGATCAGCACTGTGTGCAGTATTCAAGATGTGGGCACACCATGGATTTATATAGTGACATTGTGATATTTTCTGCCTTATTATCTGTCCTTTTCCTAATGATGCCTAACATGCTGTTAGCTTTTTTGACTGCTGCTGCACATTGGATGTTTTCAGAGAATTATCCATGATGACTCCAATGTTTCTCTCTTGAGCAGTAACAGCTAATTTAGAAACCATCATTTTGTACGTATAGTTGCAATTATGTTTTCCAATGGGCATTACTTTGCACTTACCAACACTGAATTTCATCTGCCATTTTGTTGCCCAGTCACCCAGTTTTGTGAGATCCTTTTGTAACTCTTCACAGTCAGCGTTGGACTTAACTATCTTGAGTTTTGCCAATTTTGCGACCTCACTGTTCACCCCTTTTCCTAGATCATTTATGACTGTGTTGAACAGGACTGGTCCCAATATAGGTCCTTGGTATTTACCTCTCTCCATTGTGAAAATTGACCATTTATTTCTGCTCCTTGTTTCCTATCTTTCAACCAGTTACTGATCCATGAGAGAACCTTCCCTCTTACCCATGACAGCTCACTTTGCTTAAGAGCTTTGGTGAGGGACCTTGTCAAAGGCTTTCTGAAAGTCCAAGTACACTATATCCACCGGATCCCCCTTGTCCACATTCTTGTTGATGCCCACAAACAATTCTATGGATTGGGGAGACATGATTTCCTTTTACAAAAGCTGTGTTGACTCTTCCCCAACATATCATGTTCATCTAGATGTCTGACAATTCTGTTCTTTACTATAGTTTCAACCAATTTGTCTGGTACTGAGGCTTATCAGCCTGTACTTGCCAGGATCACCTCTGGAGGCTTTTTTTAAAAAAGGGCATTACATTAGCTGTCCTTTAGTCATCTGGTACAGAGGCTATTAAGGGATAGGTTACGTACCACAGTTAGTAGTTCTGAAATTTAATATCTGGGCATAGGCGCCGAGTTTCTAATCTGCTGGGGGTGCTCCGCCCAGGCCCCACTCCCACCCCCACTCCACCCCTTCCTCCAAGGTGCCCCCGTGCTTCTTCCCACCCCACATTTTCCTGCCCGGCCCCTTCCCCACCCAGTTCCACCCCCTCCCCCAAGCACGTTGCAACCTCGCTCCTCCCCATCCCAGCACCTCCTGATGCCGCGAAACAGCTGATCCGTGGCAGGCGTTAGGCACTGGGAGGGAGGGGGAGGCGCTGATTGGTGGGGCCTGTCAGCGGGCAGGGGGCCCTGGGGTGAGGGTGAGGTTCTGGTAGGGGGGCTGCCAGTGGGTGCTCAGCATCCACCATTTTTTTCCCGTGGGTGCTCCAGCCCAGGATCACCCACAGAGTCAGTGCCTATGTATCTGAGTTCCTTCAGAACTCTTGGGTGAGTACCAAAACCTCCTCTATTGACATCTCAATCTGGGACAGTTCCTCACACCTGTGACCTAAAAAACAATGGGTTGGGTGTGGGGATCTCCCCCACAGCCTCTGCAGTGAAGACTGATGCAAAAAATTCATTTAGCTTCTCTGCAACAGCCTTGTCTTCCTTGAGTGCTCCTTTAGCACCTTGATCATCCAATGGCCCCACTGACTGCGTTGCGGGCTTCCTGCATGTGATGCACTTAAAGAAAGTGTTGCTGTTAGTTTGTGTGTCCTTAGCGAGTTGCTCATCAAATTCTGTGTTGGCCTGCCTAATTATACTTTTACCTTTGACTTGCCATTATTTTGGTTCTCTTACTGGTTTTTTTATTTGGGATATAATTTAGTTCAAGCCTCTATTATTGTGTTTTGAAATAGTCTCCATGCAGTTTGCAGGCATTTCATCCCTGTGACTGTTCCTTTTAATTTTCATTTATCTAGGTTCCTCATTTTTGTATAGTTCCCCTTGTTGAAGTTAAATGCTACTGTAGTGAGTTTCTTTGGCATTTCCCCCCCTACAAGGATGATAAATTTAATTACATTATGATCACTATTACTGAATGGTTCACCTATATTCACCTCTTGGACCAGATCCTATGTTCCACTTAGCACTAAATCAAGAATTGGCCCTCCCCTTGCGAATTCTATGAGACGCTGCTCCAAGAAGCAGTCATTTAATGTCTAGACATTTTATCTGTGCATCCCTTCATGAGGTGATATATATCCAGTCAATATGACTGGTCTCTATGTCCAATGACAGGGCCCCTTCCCTCGTCAGTCCCAGCTGCTTCTAATAATTTTTCTTTCCCCTGTCTGGATCTTTTCTATTTTTTTCTGTGCTTCTTTTGAAATGAGAAAACCTGGTTGAATTTTATCTGCTCGCACAGTTAATCCTAGAAGCTGCACATGCCGCTGTTTGCATAGACCAGAGAACTTCTCCATTTCAGTGCAAGGTTCTTGATCAAAACCTCACTTTAAATAAAGAAAGAAGGAATTTTTTAACAAGCGTAAGCTATTTTCTGACCAAGAGAGATTATAACCAGCCTCAGTCAATGAAAAAGTGCCTCCATCCCCCGGGTGTCCTGAGGTTACTGACCAAACAAATGCTTTCCTGGAACAGTACAGTGCAGAGCAGCTGTTTTTGTGGAGACATTTACCAAAATAGATTATTAGTTAGTCATAGAACAATGTGACTGCTTTGATTGACATATTTTAATAATGTGACTATTTTGTATTTTCTGTTATGAAATGGGACAGTTTCTGGTAATTTTCTTTCTCCAGGGATAATATCCTGCAAGGAGGCACCACACCACAGTGTAGGGTACATACATACAGAGTGGATAAAGATAGGT